ATTAGTAAATATAGCTAATGAATTAATGTGAATCTTTTTGAAATAGAAGAAGCATCATTAATTATAGGTATGACTTTTCACACTTATGTACCAACAGACTAGGTTATAACACATGTACTATTGATAATATTAAAATTTAAATAATAAATAAAACAATTTATTTAATGATAAATTACAAAAAAATAATTATATATAGTATGTATATTGGTAAACTTATAATGTTCCATTATGTATAAATAATATTTTAAATGTATACAAATTTTAAATAATTTTCAATTTGGGGCCAAAATGATGACTGCTAAATTTTTTTGGCTACAAACTATATATATATGAGCTATTTATATAGAGTAAATGAAAATATATGAACCTATTCAAATTGAAAATAATTGTTCCATAATTAAATTATTGAAATTTGGTTTATAAGAATAAAAATCAAGGACATTGATTTATTCATGATATATTGTCTAATAGCTTCCTTAATTTCGGATTTGATATAGTAAAATATAAGGGGATTTGAATTTAAATAAGTTTAAAAAGTTTTATATTGCTTAATATTAGGGAACTTGAAATTTGAAAGACAAACAAATAAACTTTAGAAAAGATTTCATGTGTACAACATATTGTTTGATAGAGTGATAAGTACCATATTTAAGTTTTGTTTATAAGAAGAGGTAGATTATCTTTCAAACTTTGTGAGAACTTTGGTATGTGATGTTAAACTACATGTTGCAGATGGAACCGAGTCTTGATGTTATTCTCGTGTAAGAAAGCTATGGATATTTGATATATATATATATATATATATATATATATATATATATATATATATATATATATATACTAGTAAACTTAATCGGGTCGTGATAAGCACGGCCCTAAAGAAATAATCAGTAAACTACTTTTAAGGAATCCAATAAAACAAAATTTTCAATGATAATACAACTTTGAGTGAAATGCTTTGTTATTGTTCGTAATTGTACAAAGGATGTAAGAAAATAAAAGGGAAAAATATACTCGGTTCCCAACAACTATATAAGTCCCATCTGGTCCTTGTTTGTCACGACAAGCAACCAATCAGTTCTAGCCACAAGAGCGGGTAAAACGAGAGCATTTCAGCTAGTTCCCTTTGTCAGCATTATTAACTTTTATCCACTTGTTTAAAAAATCCATTTCAAATGTAAAGGAGAAAGATACATCATAAGATCAACTTTAGAGATCAATGGCTAAACTGAATCTGCTGAAAGTCATTAGCCATACATGACATCTCCACCAAGCTTTAACTCACTTTTACGAAATACAAATGTCAAATCCATATAAGTTAGCACATGATCCATAAAGAAACGATTGAGCTTTAGGTCATTTTTTACAACATGTTTATTAAATATTATCATGAATTCACTTTATTGCTTCTACTTCTACTCTTGTGGTGGCATCAAAGACTTGCAAAATGCAAGAAAATACAAATATAGTCCCACGAGAATCGATTATGCTCTTTCTTTAGAAATTGTATGCGATTATATCGGAAAAAATTTGAATGTACAATGCTAAAAGTGGGTGGATTCTAATTAGTATAATGACCTAATAAGAAAATTTTGAGAGTAAAATCCCTTTATAGAATAAAAAAAACCTATACTACAAAAATAAATCATTAGAAGCTCGGAGTTTTACTATCATCGAATTTCCTATAAATACAAGAAGAACAGAACACCTCTTACAAAAAACCCCATCTTGATCTAACTTATCCCTACTCTAACCAAATTCTATTTACAAAAACACCCCATCTTGATCTAACATATCCCTAACGGAACGGGATACAAGCCCTGTCTTGATGAAGCAATGATCACATTTTTAGAACATTGTTTTATGTTTAAGATAAGGATTGACTAAAAAGATACCATATTTTACCATATATATACACCTTAATTAATTTTTAAAATATTTTTATTAGTTAAAATTCATGTTTTTCGGAAAAAATTGATTAAAAATAGTTAATAATAAATTTTAACTGAATTAATTTCAGTGATTAGAACTGTAATTAATAAAAAATTTAGGGACCATATGGTTAGAAAAATAGAATTTTGTCGAAAAATTTAAGGACCATATATTAGAAAAATAGAATTTGGACGGAGAGTGCGACTTTTCATATATCCACATGAAACCCTATAATAATATATAAAATTATAAAAATAATATTAAAAAAGCTTTTGTGTTCGCTTCTGGAAATTTTTTACTGTAAATATTAAAAAGATAGACAAAATTTGTTTTTTTTCCCACGTAAAAGTTTACTGTATAAAAAAAAATATATATGCAAAGATCAACCTATATTTGGTCTCACAACGTCTAAATATATAAGGATGATTTTTTGATAAATAAGATAATAAAATTGCACGACTTTGTTCATAATCATCCCTATACAAATATCAAAATGATGGCAAAATACAAAGAAACGCAGAGTATCTTTGCGATTCTTTTTTATTTGTTTAAAACATGAAGAAAACTTCTAATGTTGTAGTGATGCTCCTCTAAAATTAATTATGTTCCTAGCATTTTAGTAACATTTTATACTCCTCTAATTGATATACTTCCATAAAATCCACTAAGGAGTATGTGTATACAATCAAGAGTATAAAATGAAATCCATAACAAATAACTTGTTCAAAAATAATGTGACAATACAAATGAGATACAGTCATCAAACAAAAAAAAAACACTTTTACAAGTTTACTGTAATTCCTTTTTGAGGGACCAATCTCCTTACTACTCAAAAGTTTTTCTTTTACAAGCTCCACAACACATCAGTTAATATTTAATAGAAGAGTATCCAGTAATAGTATCCAGGTAAGAGTATCCACTAAAAAATATCCAAAAATATCCAACAAGGAGTATTCATTTTAATATTTATGGAGAACAAGAAAAGCAGTTCCAAAAGCTCTATCCTCTACCAATCAGCTCAATAACCTCATAATCATCCATCCTGGACTTGCCATCCGGTCTTTTTTTAATCATAAGCCATGTTTGGACCAACTGATCACCTACAGAAGACAAAGTAGATCAATTGTAAGTAGATTAAAGTATTAATGAAGTAAATATACATTCAGGTACTCGGTTTGCAAAAACAGAAATTTAACGTCTAACAGCAAGAAGATCTTCAAAATTTCATAAAATACGTTAGTCTGACTTTATTATGATACTCATATTTATGTCAGTACACCATTTAAAATAGAAACATTATATTATTTCACTGAACATCACGAGATTGAGTAAAATAAAAGATCACACAAAGTTTGTCATGAACTATAAAATAAAATAAAAACCTACCAACAACATGATTCAGTTATGAAGAAGTCGGGTAAAAGAGAGAGAGAGAGAGAGAGAGAGAGAAAAAAAGTAATATTATGTGAACCAGTGGGGTCAAAGGGAAAGATGGATATGGTATTTCTAAGAAAAGGAGAAGGTAGTTAGATGAGAAGAGAAATGTAAGTGAATGTGGTGACTCACCCATTGTAGTCCAAAAAGGTGAACATGTGTCCAGCTAGGATACATGTGTCATGTATTGAGAAGAAAAGCTAATGACTCAGCTTGATATAAGATTGCACGAGAAGGAACATCGGATTGGCTTAGGAGGGTGGCTAGTCGACGTGGCATCAAACTTGCAACCTTTTCATATATATATATATATATATATATATATATATATATATATATGTTGGAATTCTTTTTTTTTAAACGCCATTGAAGACTTTATTTTTCTAATAGCTGGTTTCAAGGATACAACCATTAATACTCGATTTGTCAATTTTCATACTGATGTTACATGGAAGGTGACATGCAAAATTTTGTATAAATATGGTAGTGGATATTCAAGCCTAAATCACCCTTTATCATTTACTGATATTGAATCCCTAATTACCTTCATCGCTTGTGAAGGTTAAAAAAGGAGTAGGGAAATAGATCAAGGATTAGAAGATAAAGAAACATCCCAGAACAAGGATTAGAAGATGAAGAAACATCTCAACTCATCTTTATTGGAAAGGTTTGACTATTTTTTTTTACCATATTCATCATAATTTGTATTCAAATATGTTGAATTTCGTAATTTTAATAACTTAACATGCTATAAAATGTTTGTTTTTAAAAAATTGCAAAATATTGGAGGCATTGGAGTGCACCACACCATAATATAGGCATCAAATGATGAATGTTGGAGGCATCCTACATGGTGTCTATGTAGCACCAATTGTGAAAGTCAATTCAAGGCACCACAACCTTTAATCTAACAAAATTAAAAATCAAATATATATATATATATATATATATATATATATATATATATATATATATATATATATATATATATATGTATATAAACTGAACCTGAAATTTATTTCCCAACATAAGTATCAAACCAAGGAATAGCTAAACATTGGATACAAGTGCTAAGCCGGAAGTAAGAGTTGTTGCATGTAGCTTAATCCAGGTTACCATTTTAATTCTAATCCAAACAACACAAAAGACTGAAAATCTCTAATGAAACCCAACAGAAAAAAAAAAAAAAAAAAAAAAAAGCGTTTGGGAATTTTAACTAGTATTTAATCGACAAGGTCTAAATTTACTCTATAATCTTCAAGATATGCAAAGTCAATACCCGAACATTGATAAACCTTGAAAAATTCTAATGGAAGGATCGTTCTGGTTCGTTCTTGACTTCTTTCATCTATTCTTAAAGATAACAGAGAAATTTTCGCCTGCAAAGATGTTTTCCCCTTTCCTTCACACCACTGCAAGGTACATCAATGCAGAGATATAATCAAAAAAATGTTATAACCCAATTAGTATGTGACTAATAAGGTATACACCACGCGTAGGAATAGCCACATCAGTGCAACACCCCTCCACCACCACCAGTACACTATTTGGGTTAACCTAATTAATGCGTGTTAAAAAAATGAATACTTTGAGATCTGATGTAACCAAGTGAGGTTGATGGCTGTTTTACCTTATTAAATCCCCATTGCTTTACTCATATTAGAAGCTACTGCAGCTTTGATTCTTTCAACCGTGGACTTAATAAGACTATTAACTATTGCCACCGATCCTAGTGACAGTTTGGATGTAGGATCCGAATCTACTAAAATCTGGAATGCGATGGTGAGTAATGATCCACCAGTTCCACTAACAAGAGCTCCTCCTTCATAATCTACTGGTCCATCAGGAAGTATGGCAAAACCAGATGGAAGCAACGCAACATAATCTGGATCACCTCCATTTAATGCAACATTCATCACACCAATATCCACTGGTTCATATATAAACATATGAACCTGTAGAATCGGTTGTACTGTCTTGTAGGATGAGCATGTTGCTCTGACTTGAATTGGCACTCTACAAGATAAACAACGTGAAAGTCATATGATTAATAAATTGGAAATTGATTAAGATGTTTAATTCTAGAGCTTACATTAACACGCAGAAGGGAAACACAATTTCCTGGATCACGGCCGTTGGCAATGTGTGCGATTTCTTCAACATGCCCACAATTCGAAAGGATGTCCCACTGGATGTATAAAATAGAATTAAAGAGCTAATTTCATATGAATATATATATATATATATATATATATATATATATATATATATATATATATATATATATATATATATATATATATATATATATATATAAGGTTTTATATTAAAGGCTAGCTAGCTGCATAATTACCTCATTCCTAGAGTTCTCATCACGGAGAAAATTCAAAAGCTGTTTTGGGTGAACTGGTAACCAAAATGAAGTTGCAGCACTTAGCACAATACCAGAAGGCCTGCCTGGATCATCTACACTCTTTCGGGTCATTACACGCACATCATCTCCTCCACTACCAGATAAACTTGTCCATGTGTGAGCAGTCGAAGCACCAACCCCACTACAGAAGCTCAAAACCATTCTTTCTGCTAACTTCAACATACTCTTTCGCCCTTCTGGAGACGTTATAACTATAAAAAGAATGAATAGGATAATCAATAATAGATTTTATTAAACGATACTAGAAAACGTCTTTAATCAGATACTAGGAAAGATATGATTGTGAACTAGGACACTTGCCTCCGACATCTCCTGCAGGAATATTGCTAGCCATTGCACTTGCAAGTCGTTCACTTTGTCTATCTAAAGTGGCTACCCATCTTTTTGCACCAAATGCAAGACCAGAGTTTACTAGTACCTTATAGATATCATGAACGTCCCCATTATCAACTTCAACATGTTCAATCCAAGTGACCTGGAAAACAAAAACCAGACATGATTTGTGAAATCCGTTTACTTCATCAAAGCTAAAATAATACATTGATTGAAGCTAGAGAGTGTACCTTTGAGTAACCATTAGGAAGTTCTTGAATCAAGCAGCCAGAGGGCCTTCTCCTACATCTTGAAATTGACGATGAGCCCATATTATCCATGGATACATCAACAACCGCCCACGTCCCATCACCATGTTGTTTACAATACCGAACGAAATAGTTTTCTCGTGTTGGAACGAGTGGTGAAGGAATCTGATATTCAGCTCTCATCTAGACAAAAAAGAAAAAAAAAAACTGTTTAGAACAGTATAGAAATAAATACAATTGGGGTTTCATTATATAGCTCACTACAACAAATACAAGTATACTACACTTCATTTCTCCACTATTTATCTTGACATGCAGATACAGTGATCTTTTTGATACTAAACATATGTGAAAAATACTTCCTTAAGTACTGTTACATCTAAATATACATATGTAAAAATAATAATTACTAAAGCCACATGCTGTCGCAATAGGCCTTTTGAAATTGGCTAATGAATCTGTTTCTGGGGAAAATTTCACAATGACCATTTTTACAACCTACTGCGAGTAAATATCTTAGTTGTTTATTACCAACATTCAACAAAAACCGATACTACTTGATAGCTAGGCATTGACATGTGAGTTGAATTCTTCCTCTTTAGGAGTAATTTTGTTTCTTATTGGTTTCCAAGTCTTAACGATCACGAATTAAATATCCTATTACTTTTCTTCGTACTTATCATCCTACCAATGTAAAATTACCTACTAATGTAAAATTATGACAAATATCTTTTAAACATGGGTGTATTTAGAAAAAAATACAAAGGTTTATATATTTCAGAAATTTAAATTTATATGAAAAGTTAAAAAAATATTGAATTAATAAAATTGAATTGTTTTTTCTCTTTTAAAGATAAACAAATAATTTAGATAAATAAATAAAATAAATTAATAGAGCCTTAATTTAGAAATTTAGAAATTAGAAGGTTAGTTCATTAATGAAATTGATATTTATTTATTATTACATTTATTCTAAATATTAAATTATATGGGTATGAAGACAATAGAAAGAAAAATTAGGAGGATATTTAATTTATCATACATTACCACTGTTTGGTAGCTAATTATTAGTCTTTACATTATTTTAGGATTAAACTTTGTTAGCTGATAAATATAGCCTTAGATTAATTGTTCTAATCTTCATATAATAATAAGTTAGGTGTAAGATCCATATATTATATAGATTTATTTAGAAGAAAATTAAATACCGAATTATCAAAATTAAAGTATTTTTTCTTTTATAAATTTAAATAAATAATTTACATAAATAAACAAATGAAACTAATAAGACTTTAATTTAAGAATTTTAAAATTAAAAAGTAAGGCCACTAATAAAATTGATTTTCATTTATTATTATTTTTATTGCATTTATTTAATCTAAAATACTACGTAGAATATAGTAAAATACAAAAAAAATGATATTTGAAAAAAGAAACTAATTTAAAAAAAACCATAAAATGATATATGAAAATAAAAAATTTATTTATTAGATTAGAATAATAGTTTTTATTGTCCATTGTCACTTTCTCTTAATTTACTTTTTTTTTTCAAAATTTCTATAAAATTGACATTTGTCATTTTCTCATCATATTTTTTTAAAAGTATTGATGTTGTTAATAGTTTGGTGTGTATATATATATATATATATATATATATATCATGGTTGTAGAAATTGGGATTAATCGACGAATAATCGTGGATTAATCGTTTGACGTTCTCCACCCGCCGAGGATTAGGGTATTAATCGGAAATTTATGATTTATCGGGTTTGACGAGATTAATCGGTAAATAAAACTCAACAAAAGTTAAAAAAGTCAAAAAAAAAAAAAGTCGAAAAAATGTCAAAAAAGTTAAACAAAAAAAATTCAAAGACTCAAATTTTTTTTTTTACTCGAAAATTTTCAAATTTTCAAATTACAATCTTTTTTATTTTCTAATTTTGAAGTGCTTTTTTTTCTTAAGATATATTATTATTTGATTAATTTTAATATTTTATTAATAATTTATGGTTCCCGATTAATCTCCGCCAAGACCGATTATTCCCTTAACACCAGTCGACCATCGAGCTACCGCCGAATGATTTGTACAACCTTGATATATATATATATATATATATATATATATATATATATATATATATATATATATATATATATATATATATATAATAATAATAATAATAATAATAATTATTACCTTTTAGTGAACTATATTTATTTATAAATACAAATATTAAAATTAGAGTACTCACTGTCTATTTTATATATATATATATATATATATATATATATATATATATATATATATATATATATATATATATATATATATATATATATATATATATGGAAAACAAGGTTAAACTGAGAATTTAGGGTCAATTAGGGTTACAGGAAACGAGGATGACGAGAGTGATCCTGAAATTCAGGTTCAAGGTTTGGAGCTGGAAAACGAGTGTGTTATCATAGGTAATTCTTGAAATGTGTTAAATCAAGATGATATCAATTTTCTAAACCTACATAGGTTTCCTTCATTTGATTTCTTTCTTAAACATGCAAAGGTTTTGTCAATTTATCCTACACCGATGCAAGGTTTGTTGATTTTCTCTAACCATGCGTACCTTCAAATCAGTTGTCTCTTATACCTTTTAAGGTGATATTGAGCAAATGAATTCAATGAAATATGATTTGCCACTATTAGATTGTGATACCAGTTTTTCTTTATTGTAGGTTAAGATAGAGCATTAGTGACTTAAGAAAATTATGATGATTCATTGAATTCTTTTAAAGCCAAAAATCAAATCAGACTAGACTATGAAAAAGAAGGAGAAAGATTATAAAGACCTAATTCAAATTTAACTTCATTCTCCCAACATTCTACAAGCTAAAAGGTCTAAAGGAGAATACCGAAACTGCTTTTTGGCTCAAACTGTAACCCATATGGATGAAAAAAAACTTACTAATTAAAATGCATTTAAAGCACAAGTTGTTTCTATACAAATTACAAGATGAATAAAACCTTATCATTCATATTTTTTCAAAGAGAATTTCTGATGTGGAAATGATGGAAGTGAGGTATAATGAGGAACATTTGGGTTTGCTTTTGTTGTTTCATTATCAGGTTCATATTCCAATTTGAAAAACACCATACTTTATAGTTATTACCCGCACTCTCAGTGAGTTTTATGAAACCTTGTATGCTAAGGAAAAATATGAAACAAATGGTACTTTTCGATGAACTAGACACGCATATATTATAAATAAAAGGGTGAGACTTAAATAGATTCAAGGGTAAAGAAGATGACAATTCTACAAACTAAGCCAATGAAGTTCTAAATAAGAGGTCTTTGTTGTTATTGTTGGATATACCATCGTTGATGATGAATATGGGTTCTTGATTGTGATTATGCTTACCTTATATGTCGACATAAAGCATGGTTTACCACTTTAGGACCATTTCAAAAATCAATTGATTATTAAAACGGTTTTCAATGAGGATGAGATAACGGTGCTATTGGCTATCTTCAACCACGCCGTCGTAAATACAAAAGTAAAACAATACCCCCCTACTTTTCCACTTTAGTGTAATTCTTGCATAACTCGTCTCCAACCGCTCTAAACGATGGTGTACAGTAGCTTAACTCTAGAAAATCCAACATTTAAGGGCCGATATAGAGACTACAAGATTCCTAGAGATTACTTTACCTTTTTTGACCCTAAACCCTAAAATTTGATCCTGAAAGATGAATGGATTGGAAGAGCAGACATCGCTTTTATGCTTCGTTGGAATTTGTGATATTTATTGTAGTAACATGTATCGATCAATTTGATTAATAGGTCTACACTTTTAAGTCTAAGATTCGGAAGTGATTGTGAAGCATGTACTTCACAGCTTTTTTAATTTCAAATGTAATATACCCAAAAATATTTAGAATCAATTGAATTATTGCAGTGGATTCACAAGACATTGGATGACTGATTTCTTACCACTTGAAGAGCTCCATTATAATTGCCTGCCACCCCGGTTGAAAGCACTTCTAAAGTCATTGCTCTTGAAACAATGCCACAAAACACATTTGACCATTGATGCTGAAAAATCATGGTTAGATTAGGGAAGTGCTTCATAACAGATAACAAAGTTACCACAAAAAGATAGCATGCTTAGTAAATATATACCACGTCCATTAGAATTTCCACAATAGTCATATGATTCATGCTGATAACCATCGATTCCCTTGAAGCTTCAGATTTGAATCCCATTAGTTTCGGTCCAATGCCTCTAGGAAATGACCGCAGATACTCGTCTTCGCTTAAAATCTCATGAGAGTTATTTGATGTTGGAACCCACAAGGGCTCGCAAACCTGAGCCTTTCTAACTAGTTCCTCCATGGCTGTAACAGCTAGATCAATGATAGTAGGTTTCTCAGCCTCAATAGGGCCAGCTAAGGACTGAAGAAGGTCGTTTGCACCAAACATCTCACCTAGCATCCCTTGTTGTGGACTAAAACTAGCCACAGGTAATTCAAGTGAGCGAGGGGGTCCTTGAGATGATGCATCCGGGTTAGAGAGCATTGGCTTGCCAATATACTTGGCAGCAATTCCGGATATCCTATCAATCTGTTAAAAAAGCCAAAGAAATAACTTTGGTATGTTATAAAAATAGCACACACTCTGCTTAAACTTGTGAGGAAAATATTTTTTCTTAGGGTAAAATCTAACATACCTCTTCTCGTAGACGAGCATTTTCAATCTTCAACTGTTGTTCATTAAAAGACATCTCACCAATAGCAGTTGGGCCTCCACAGTTAGGACAGGTGGCATTTGCAAGGGCTTCCTTGTAACGTATGTTCTCTGCCCGGAGCTTTTCATTTTCGTTCCTCAGCTTAGAGTTATCAAAGCGTTCATGTTGAGTCTAAAAATATAAGTGCAAATACAGTCAACATTCGACTAGGTGTGTTCCATCACAAAAAAATTAATAACAAGTAATTAATGGATTGTATATACTCATTACATGAGAGGAAAAAAAAAAGTTAAAACAACTAGCTAATTAGTGTCGTTACTTATTATACATTTAGAAAATTGCAACTATTTAAACCAATTGATGTCGGATTACCAAAATTAATAAAGGATCATGGATGTATATATCATCATAAATAAATTTTCTCCATATAGGACCAACTGACTCAGATACACCCATTCAAGATTTATGTCTGTGTACGTATTATATGCTTTGAACAATATGGAAATTGCGATATTGAGCCTCTTAGCTCTAATAAACAACCAACTATATAAATTACTAAAGAGGTACATGATCATATTATAGTCACTTATGTAATTAAATTGTATAACTTAACCAAAAAAAAAGTTGTACAAATTACATAGCAAGTACTTCTTTAAACCTTATAGTACAAATTTGTGTTTTTGTGCAAGTTACTTACCTTCATTTGTGTTCTTTTGTTCTGGAACCAAAATTTAACCTGCAAAGGCTCCAAGGATAGTCTTCTTCCAAGTTCCTTTCTTTGCTTATCATCGGGATGGGGGTACTCTTTGAAAAACCTACAAGTATATGAAATAGTATAAAGGTCAACAACCAAAAAGAGTAATTCAAACTTCTCTCCTAAAAGGAGTCAAGGAAGGATTAATAACATGCACAATCTGCACTCACTTCCTTCCAAAGTTGTATTTAATACAAATAATTTTTAAGATTTCAGTAAAAAAACACGAAATTAAAGAATTTTAGCCGCTCTAAAATTTTTGTATATACACTTAGTTAATTCAGCGCACTAGATATTCTAGCTCCATTACTACATACATGAGATGGGTTCGAACCACACCCATTAGAGTGAAACCAACAAAAATGAGATATTCAAGATTAGGGTAAAAGAATGACTCACGCTTCCATTTCCTGGATTTGATGTTGAGTATGGCGATGGTAGCGTTTCTTTTTATTGGCATGTTGATTGGGATCTTGATCATCGCCTGAAACAGCTTCCATGATATCGTTCCCGAGATAGTCATCTCTATGCCTAAGACGATTATTTTCTTGGGATCTATGACTCATATCAAGATGATGATGATGATGATTTTCAATCATGTTTGGCTGAAACATCTCTCCCTTCAACGCTGCTTCTGCTCGAATTTATGAAGAGCTTAGCTTGAGGTTGATAATAAAATTTGGATAATTGGTTGTACACAACAATTTTTCGCAATATACAACAATTTGTGTATTATGTAGTTGTACAATACAAATATATAAAACACAAATTATTGTGTATGGCTAAAAACTATTAGGTATGTATGAGTGCTATAAATTTCTTAAAACAAAAAATATATAATCCATGATACATCCATTAAAAATGCATATATCCAAGCTCACGAGAAACAAATATTGTTGTAACTCTCATTAATTTTCCACAATAAAACAAAAAAAAAACTTTAAACATAAATAGAGAATAGAGAGGAGGATACGCTAATAATTAAATACAAACGAAATACACCTATATATTACATAAGAAAACATATTCTTATTTTTTGAAAAAAGTCAACTTTTAATGATTTTGAACTTTTTTTTACTCTCTCTCTCTCTCTCTCTATATATATATATATATATATATATATATATATCCCTTCCCCCTCTCTCTAGCAAGAGAGGTATTTTGTAAGCTTTACTTTTTTGGATAAAAGGGCTTGTTAATGGTATATATATATATATATATATATATATATATATATATATATATATATATATATATATATATATATATATATATAAAAGATGACTTTAGATGGAAAATTCTATTAATTACATTAAGACAAATATAGCAAATATAATTTTCAACCCATTAAGACCAAATGTGAGAAAATTTAGCCCCAAAATAAATAGAACATACATCAGTTGAAAATAAAATATATCCAAAACCTCCGTATTCATTTCAATTTCATACCCTATCTTTTCTTTCAATGTGGAACATCGTAGAAAATAATTAGTTTATCGCTAACAAAAGTGGAGAAGATCAACTTACTGGTTTTTTCTTGTGATGCTTAAAGTGAAAGATCTAGTATTCGAGGGAGAGAACAATACAAATGGAAAACCACTTTCAAGATAGTAAAAGAGTAATTTCAGACGGTGTTGGAATGAAAATCACCTAATTTATTATGAAAAAAAGTCTTAGAGAGAAAAATAGTGAGAGAGAGAGAGAGGAGGTAACAAAAGGAAGAGGTTAGAGGATTGAAGAGATGACAACCAAAGGAGTTAATGCAAAGGTATTGAGAGCATGTGCATATGCATTAATTATAGAGGATTGAAGTTATAAATGTTTGGAGAGAGAGAGAGAGTGAGTGAGTGAAGAGAGAGAGAGAGAGAGAGAGAGAGAGAGAGAGAGAAACAGAGGTTGTAGGACCTACGAGGCGGGCCAATCAGACCGATGACCCGTAGAGCAATCCGGATGGGTTGTAGGTCCTACGAGGTGATCCAGTCAGGCTGGTTGCTCAGATTTGTATGCTTATTTGCTATGTGGTGTGCTGGTACTTTGGGGGATATTGATTTATTGCTTTTGAAACAATGACTCTTTTTGTAAAAAAATGTTGGTTAATGGTTGATTTTGAAAATTTTAAATTTCTTTATTTTTGGAGTGTTACAAGTTGGTATTTGAGCCTTGGTTTGAGAGAACTGGATGAACATTCGTGTGAATCCATAATCAAACTAGAGAATTGCAAAAGTTTTTAAATTATTTTCAAAAGTTTTTTCAAAAAACATCCAAGGAAGGATGCGATGTGTACGATCAGTCGAAGTAAGAAAGTATACCACAAGTTACCCACACTGTTATTTGTTATGATATGGTAGAACGACATACTATTTGTAGGATAGGGATCTTCAAGAATCACATGATAGAATTGCTTGTTGTATGATGCCTTATTTCCTATGGATTTTTCTTGTTTATTCTTGTAGAACTCTTTCAGGTGGAGTGAATTAACTATTAATTGAATACTTTAAGTCGCATGCTGCATGGGTTAAATAATTTTAAAATGAAGGATTTGGTCCTATTGTGCAGCTCTTGTTCGAGTCCAACCATTATGGGGTTGAATCTTTTAATCTAAGATAATTTCAGTTATGTTGCATGTGATTGTATTCATGCAGTAGTTAACTCGCATCAATAGGTGTCATTTGACAGTTGATAGTAGGGTGATGTGTGGATCCTAGGATATCCTAGCGAGTATGTAGTACCAGTGATGTGATTATTATTAGCAAGTATTGGAATTTCTACGGATGGGTTATATATAAGCAGCCGACCAGTTCAGGAATGTCTAGACTTTCTCTAAGGAGTGAGAATAGGATGTATTCATATTCTAATGTGTGTTGTTAGGGTTGTTGTGATGATTTTCTATGACAAATGTACGTAGGTGTGGAAGGTAGTATGGGCCCGTACTACCGGAAGCACAAGACTCATACGCGTAATAGGGAAGTCACTTCCCTTAGGGTTTCGTTATTTAGAATAGCTCATATGTTATGAAATGCAACTTATCTGATATTTTCTTGTTTATTTTCAGTATGGTGTTCACGAGGCTTTCCTGGATCATGAGCAGGAGCGAGTGGCCATGATAGGTCGTGCTTGATGGAGGAAGAGATTAGGGAATTCATTTCTTTTGAGGTTGTGACTATTATCTGAGGTTAGATATGGGAGCTACTCGGATCTATCAAGACTGTTATGATTGAGTACTTTGGTGACCGTTACGTTGCACTATCTGAGGTTGTTGTTGTTGCAGCTAACACGACCATTATGGTCATTGGGTTTTGTGGAGATCAAGGCTTCTAGTACCGAGACTTCGACAATACGAAGCCCTAGTGTTCGATGGGGTTTAGGATCTGATCAATGCTATGAGGTTATTGTCTAATGTCGAGGGATATTTCTTTACTTTCTCTTACCCAGCCGAGCAGAAGGTCAATTAAGCCTTGAACCTTCTTTGGTTGGGGGAAAAAGATTGGTTTGAGGTTGGTTAATAGCTCTTACACTCTAGAGCATAGGGCTACTATATCATGGGAGTAATTCTCTGAGATGTTCCGTACGAGATATGTTCCATTGGTTGAGAGGGAGAGATTGGCCGAGTAGTATTTGGATTTGAGGCAGGGGATTGAGTCGGTTACGGAGATAACCAAGATGTTTACTGAGTGATCATTGTTTTGTCCTGAGTTTGATGCTTCTGAGACATCTCCGATGACCCGGTACTTGAGCATGCTCAAGATGGACATCTATCGATTTGTGTCAACTGAACGTTATGGTGAACTTGTAGAGCTACAAAAGTGCCGCTAGGAGGCGAGAAATTGAGTTGGAGCTCCATAAGAGGGTGAGGAGGTAAGATTTGGTGCAGTCACAACTTGCGGCGAAGGTGTTCAAGGACGTTGATGTAAGATCTGGGAGTCAGAGGGGCCAAACTTGTGGGATGTTTCGCAAGTTTATTGAGCGTCCTTGTCGGTCTACTTTAGGGTGCCAAAAATGTGGTAGGGAGGGGCATTACGCCAAGGATTGTCACCAGTAGGTTGACACACCGACCACCAGGATTTGCTATCACTATGAGCATGTTGGCCATATTAACGCCAACGCTCCTTTACTCACTGCATAACCGGTGCAGGCCCTAGTGCCAGCTAATTTGAGGATCACCGATGGGCACCAGGGTAGGGCGGAGACCCTGAGGTTTCGAGGTTGCTACTGGTTTGTTTCCATTTATCATTTTGTCAATTATTTTTTGGTGTTCCTATGTTCATGTTTTTGATAGGTACATTCTTAGTGAATTCTTTGCCAACTCCTGTGTTATACAACTCGGGTACGAATCGGTCCTTTGTATCTCAGTCTTTTAGTAGGGATTTCATTATGACCCTTAATGAGTTGGAATCTCTGTTGCGGGTTTCTATCGCCAACAAAAATGGAATATATGCATCCATAGTGTATCAGGGTTGTGTCTTGGAGATCTTCAGGGTGCCTAATCCAATTCATTTGATTCCTATCCTCCTAGGGGATGTATGCATGATAGTATGGATAGATTGGCTGAGCATATTTGGTGTTATAATAGACTATGAGGGTCAGCTAGTGCTAGTTCCAACCCTAAGTTGGGGAGTATTGGTCATCTATGGAGAGGGTACCATGATCGGGTAAGGGTTTTATTAAACGATGAGCGCTCGATAGTAAATTCAACATGGTTGTATGGGTTACCTTTCCTATGTGGTTGATACACGAGTTGTGGAGCAGACATCGGTTTTTAGATGTGGCGATTGTTAGGGAGTTTGCTGATATGTTTTCGGATGAGTTTCCCGGTGTGCCTCCCGAGAGGTTTGTTGAGTTCAGGATTGATTTAGTGTTTGGTGCGGCTCTGATTGCAAAGGCACTATACCATTTGTCACCACTTGAGATGCAGAAGTTGTCCTCTCAGCATTAGGAGTTATTAGGAAAGTTGTTCATTAGACCGAGAATTTTATCGTGCAGAGCATCAATATTGTTTGACAAGAAGATGGATGGTTCGCACCGGATATGCAATGATTACTGGGTGTTGAACAAGTTGTTAGTGAAGAATTGTTATCCCCTAAGAAAACAGCCCTTTAATGACGCACAAACAATGACACTCGCTGATAGTGGACATGCATTTGTGTGTGCCCTAAAAAATAATGTCAGTTTTGCAAAATTTGAAGGATAGCGGACACGCATTTGTGCGTGCCCTAAAATTAGTGTCAGAAAAAGAAAAAAAGGAAATGCAGAGGGAACCTTTCATAAAATGTGTGTTGTCCAAGTCTGTCGCTTTATAATTTTTTAATGAAACACGCGTTTTTTAAGGCGGGATTTCACCCTGCCTGTTGGATCCCAAAAATCAAACCCCCTCGTCTCTTTCGATTAGCAAGAAAAAGCCCTAGGGCCTTCGTCTTCATAGCAGCATCGCACCACCACCCAACCTCCGATCTCGCACCGCCAAGTGTCTCCGACCATCTTCTCCAACCATTCTTTCCTGTCGCACTACACCGATAACAAAATCCCCCATCATGATATGCTAATGTTTGTATTTATGTCAATTGAGATCAAATCATTCATGTCACAGGTGCTCATGCTTCACGTTCGTATGATAAAACCCTAACCGTAAAAACCATCATTCTCTAGGTCGAGAACAACGATTCCATCAAGAATGTCTAATACATGATACAGGTTCCTCTTTCTCCTCTATTCTTACCTTTAATTTTGATTTTGAAACTTCTCATCTTCTCATCTATAAAACCCTAACCGTAAAAATTATACGGGTTTCAATTGTGATTTCCTCCTCCACACTCGATCCCTACTTCTACTCTCTATGCATATCAAATAGGATCCGTTCTTTCTCCCCTTTTCTCCTTCTTTTTCTTTGTTTTCTCAGGTACAACATCATTCTCCCCTACTTTCTACTTGTGCATCCCATTCTGATACTTTTCTACTTGATACAATCATCGATGATTCAAAACCATCAAACGCTTTAGCATCTATCGTGTTCGGGTAATTCATCCCACTCCATTAACCCCTTTCATTTTTCATTAGAAAAACCCTATTGATTTGGCAAGTTCATGAACTAGATGTAGCACATCCCAAACTGGGGTTTTAACCAAACCCGATAGAGCCATTAACAGAATCTTTGGATTCGGTTAACAAGGACTCTCTATAATCGCGCAGCTTTCTTCACAAGGGATCGCTCCAGATGCTTTCTCTCATTGTCTCGTCGGAAACGGTAGTGGTGGTGGGATTTTGGTTCTAGGTCAGATAATCGAGCCAAGCATGGTGTATACTCCATTAATCCAGTCACAGCAAGTTCTATTTGGCTTATCTCTTATCATAAAACATTAACAATGGTGTATAGTCTTCTTACCCCTTTTCTACCTTTTTTGCAATTGCTCAATCTCCCTTTTCTGTTGTATAGGCTATGATAGAACTACCAATGATTGGGATGACTACTCAAGATATGTGAATCCTGATGGAGTTGATTTATCTCATTTAAGAACGTGTTTCCTTCTGTGAGTTTTGTCTATTTTTTTTACTTGAAAACATGTTTATCATTGTATATTGTTTTTGGTTTCATTACAGGGTGTTTATGGTCATGGTTATGCACCATATGGACCTGATTCTCCTGCTGGCTCACCTATGCCAACAGTAGGTCAATATGGTGAACTCTATGGGGCCCAACATTACCAGTACCCTACTTCTTACTTCCCACCTATGACCCCTACAACCCCTTACTCTTCTGCGCCTCCAAAGGGTGAGATCACAGCAAATAAAGAGGAACCTACTTTATCTTTGGACACAACTAAAGGAAACCCAAATGGTGTGAAGGGGAACACTGCTTCTACCACTGTGAGGCCAACTCCATATCAGAATTTATCTTTCAAATCAAATGGAACCTATGGAAGAGGTGCATAAACTGGCTATCAAGATCCAAGATACACTTGACAGTTGACAGTTTCTCAATTTGCTTCAAACAATCTTTTCTTTTCTTCTCTTTTAATCATTTGATGTTATTATTCTAGGCAAAATATACAAAATGGCAACATATTTTCCTTTTTAACTGATGTATTGTGTCATAAACTTGCAGTCTATTACTAGAGCATATGGAAGGGTGGATGCAGATGGTTCCAGGTATCTACTTGGTGACCATCTTATTAGTTTTGTAAAAAAAATAATAAATAAATAAACTAATTAAAGTAGAAGTTATAAATACAAATGTATCAGAAGCAACTATGTAAATATACTGTTCCATTAGGTTTTCAACATACAGAGGAATTACAACGGAAATATTATAGCATAATTCTTAATTATTTCCTGTTGCCTAGATTCTGGTAGGAGTTCAATCACCCAACATTCACTACATTAAACTATATAACTATTTATGTAGTTCATAACTTATTCAATTGAAAAATATCAAATTTGACACTTATGTTCAGGTTTTTGCTGTTTGCAGCCTCAGGTAGAAGTTAAGAGTTTTCCAGCACAAGCAATCAATCCTCTTGCTTGTAATACTGATGATACTTATATAGTAGGAGGAGGAGTTTCAGGTCATATTTACTTGTGGGATGTGAGTTGTAAATTCATTTCAGTTTTCTAGTCATAAATAATACATGGTTCTTTTGCCGATTTTTAATTTCTCTTCAAATTATATTGAAAACTTTGTTATTCGGTTTTATTGTTGCTCTTTGGTTCCAACAATTCACTGTTTTTCATAATCAGATTAACTATCTGTGCAAAAATCATATAAAACTGATCTTATTACAAGTCTTTTCTTTATTTCTTTTGATTTATTATAGGTTGCAACTGGTAGATTATTAAAGAAATGGCATGGTCACTATAGGCCTGTTACTTGCTTGGTCTTTTCTAATGATCAGTCACTTTTGATTTCTGGATCTAAGGATGGAACTGTTAGAATCTGGTCACTTCTGATGTATGTATAATTACTCATTTACCCTTTTACATTCATGAGTTGCAATTTTAGCATTTATTACTATAATACATTTTCTTCATCTTGTGATCAGGATATTTGATGAGGAAGGACAACAGAGAGCAGGACAACTGTATGAATACAGATTCACTGGTCATGCTTTACCTATAACTGACATTGTCACGGGCATGATAATCCAATGCAATTATCTTATCTGCTTCTCTAGATCGTACTTGCAAGGTACATATTGCATTAATATTCGGAAAAGACGTGAATACCCTCATGAATTTGTTTAAATTGCAGGTATGGAGCCTAACTAGAGGGACATTGTTGAGAAATATTGTGTTCCCTTCAATAATTGATGCAGTTGCATTAGATCCAGGGGAACATGTTTTTTTATGCTGGTGGGAGAGATGGGAAAATATACATTGCAGAACTCAATGCTCAAGTCACATCCAAAAACAACAACAACTATGGTTTGCATATCATTGGCACATCCAAACACTACTTCAAAGTTCAAAGTAGGAAGTAGTTGGTATTCATTATATCTTTTGGAGAAAATATAAAAAGGGGTGTTTGGATTTTCTTTTCTTAAGTAATTATTCTGATTTCAAGAATAATAATCAGATAATAATTTGAGAAATTTAGGGATAATATGATACTTTTCCATTTATCCTGCAATAAATTTGATTTTGGCATCAAAGATTCTGTCATGATGACTTCTTATACTGGAATTGTTCTGAAAATATCATAACCTCTTTTAGATGCTATTAATGTGTTGATGTATATTGTAAAAGTCGAATAGAGTGTTTTGTATAGTTTCGCATTTTATGTTATTTTACTAAGTCATATTTTGTGCGAAGTTAAAATGTATAGACTTAGTATATTTTTTGTTCATTCCCTATAAATAGGGACTTAGGCTAGAAGTTGTAGTACGATGCTAGAACTCACTTCTGCTTAACTTTGTAATCAGTCTTAATCAATATGAGATCTGATTAATATTTACTCTCTGTGTTCTTCATCATAAAATCTATCTTTTCTTTTCTAAATTCTCGATAACAATTCTCATCAATTGGTATCAGAGCAGGATTCAAACTGCTTAGATCTGATTTTCGTATAAGAATCTTTTGTTTTTTGAGTTACGAATTTACTCAAAATTTTCCGCACATTATTGGTTTTGAAAATGACTTTTGATCTTCAGATTTGAATTGATTCTGCATTTGAATTGTTAAATCGAGTAATCGATTAGTGATTTGTGATCAATTCGTTTGATAAATTCTGAAATTCATCAAACTTTCAAGTTTTCAGATATTTTCTGTGTTCATCAATGGCGAACTTCAACATGAATTCAATGACTTCTTTCTCTCACTTGCTTGGTTCCTCAACCAAAATTCCGATGTTAATTCCAGAATACTATGATCAGTGGGCTGATAGAATGGAAGATTACTTAAATGGAATTGATGAAGAACTGTGGAAGTGTATCGATGGAACAATACTAGCTCCTGCTAATGTTCAACCAATTGGACCATCCACTGCATCTACTGATGTTGAAGAACAACGAAATCGATTGAAGAAAAATGAAAAGAGATGCATGAGAGAATTAAGAGGTGCTCTACCTCCTGTGGTTTACAATTACATTCGTAGTTGTAAAACAGCAAAAGAGATCTGGAATACTCTAAAAGAAAAATATCAAGGTAGTGAAAAGATGAAGATCAACTCTGTGAAGCAATGCCTAGTTGAACTGAAGGAATTCAGACAAAAGGATACTGAAACTCTCGAAAGTTGTTATGATCGTCTGAATGAGCTTATGTTTCGCTGCAATAGGTATGGTATTACTAGATCTATCATGGAGTTCAATTTAACTTTCATTATGAGTCTTCGCAAGGAATGGCGAGGTGTGAGCATGATGATTAAGAATCAACAATGTTTTGATACAACTACATTGAATGATCTTTACAATCAACTGAAAACACATGAATGTGAGGTCACAGAAATGTATGAAGAATCAAAACAAGCTATTGGTGGTCCTTTGACTCTTGTTTCAAAAGTATCAGAAACTGATGAAAAAGATGGTTCAGATGTAGAAGGATTTTTGATGAACTCTGATGATGAAGCAGTAGCATACTATTCAAACAACAGAGTTGAAAAGTTTTTCAAAAAGCCTTTTAATTCAAAAGGAAAGAATAGTAATGTGAAAAATGATGTTACAAGAACTGGAGGAGAAGAGAAGAAGAAAATGGAGAAAACAGATGAAAAACAGAAAAATGCGAATGAAGAGAAAAAATTGAAGGGTGATTCAGGAATTACTGTCAGTATTGCAATGGTGCGAATCATTTCGCAGCTGATTGCATGTTGCGAAAGAAAGAAGAAAAGAAAGAAAAAGTCAAAGATGAAGCTTACTATTCTGAAAAGATTGAAGAATTACGTGAAAAGAACAAAGGAGTGTCTTTGGTTGCTAAGGGAGAATCAAATGAAGAAGAAAGTGGAACTTATCAGATCTGGTCTTCAGGATCTGATGATGAAGAAATGAGGCATCCTACACATGGAGCAATGTTCGCAAGTTTTGAGGATTGAGAAGAGAACATTTCAGGGAAATGTTTTATGTCTAAATCCACTGACAAGTCTCCCATGACAACCAAGGTACGTGCAATTCTTGAATATTTTAATATTCCTTTATCTGCTTATGATGCTGAAATTGTTTTGTTTGATGATACTGTGGCTTATTTTGATTCTGTTATTGTGTCTGCTAGTAATGAAGCTAAGAAATTAAATGTGCAACTTAGTGAGACACAAAGGGATTTAGAAATAAAGAAGAGCAGAGTTGAAAAATTAGAAATGCAAGTCAAAAATATAGATTGTGATAGGAATAATCTTTCTAATGATGTTAGGTTGTTACTAGCACAAAGAAACATCTATTGTAATTCAGCAAAACGATTGTATGCAAAATTAACAGCTTTACATCATTCTTCTGATATTCGCAAAGAACAACATAGGAAACTTTTACCTTTTCTTGAGTATGAGCGTGAAAAAGTAGATGTTGTTTCTTATGATTGCGAAAGTACAATTGCTCAGTTTGACAAAATACCTGATGATAGATATTCATATGGTATTGTCAAAATTGATGAATTTCTAAATGCTGATGAGTTGGTTGACATTGTAAATGAAAGTTTGACAAAAAGTGATCAAGTGAAAATCTTAAAGAAAACCGAAAATTCAACTCTTACTTCACAATTCAATTACGCTGATATTGATGAAAATTCTGATAATGTGAGTGAATCAGTGAAATAGAAGAAGAAGAAGAAGAGATTGATTGTTCTTAATTATTGATCATTAATATCACATATAAGATCAAAGGTAAAGAAATAATAGTTGATTCTATAGTAGAGGATAAAGTTGATAAATCTTCAACTTCGCAACATTGTAAGTTTGATAATGTGGAAGTTGAAAGTTGGAAATCTGATGATACAAATGAAAATAAAGAAGAAAAGAAAAATTCAACTGAAACACATCAAAGGGTTGTGGTTGATCAAGTGTTTGAAAACACAAAAGAATTTGAAAAAGTTTTAAATGACAAAGGCGCACATTATTTGGAAACCAACACAATGGTATATCCAAATTTTGTATGTCCTGATAAAACTATTTTTCCAAATCAAGTTTTTGTCACTACTGGAAATGCTGAGAAAGTTCATCCTGAGTTCAATAAAATGATTGAAAAAGATAATCAAAAGTCTACACCTGAAGGTTTCTTCGCAAATCAAAACACAGTAGAAAACAATTTAACTCAAAATTCTTATGTGTTTCAAAAACAAAAAATCATTACAAAAATGGGTGGTTTATTGAGAAGAGAGTATGTCTTTATGAATGCAACAATACTATAACATCCTAAATTTAAGACTACATTATTAAATTAATAAGATAAAAGGGAAAATGGTAGAGAAAAGTCATTAAATTTGCTGGGATAATTACCCTAAGTCAAGGGGAAGAAGGGCATTTTCAGAATTTTACCAAAACTAGGTAGGGTTTTTTCACATGATGTTAATTTGCAGCTGCCAACGTCTCCCCAGAAAAGCTACAATATGGTAGACCATCACCATCCGTTTGAACTTTGAAGAAGATGACAATGCAATGTAAGTTTATATTAATTATTTTCTCTTACTATTTATTTTTGAACTTATTACACTTTGGTTGCGTTGAATCTGGTCTGCTATTCTGATGGTTATATATATATATATATATATATATATATATATATATATATATATATATATATATATATATATAGGGTTAATGATGAAAGAACTTAACATTTTACAAATTTGCCCTCACTTATTTTTTCCTTCTCAGTGTTGCCCTTTTTTCAACTGCTTTAGATTTTGGTTACATAATTATTAAAATGGTACAAGAGTGTGTGTCTCTATCTCCCCTCTCTTTAAAACATGCACTGTGGTTGGCTCTAACTTAACATACAAGTGAACTCAGACCCCCATCCAATCAAGAAAACTGTAGAACCTAAAACAAGTTTTTATGCTCAAGTCTTTAACAAATATGAACACTAATTCCTTTCAACATCTCCATTCTAGGGTAAGGCAATCCCCAGTAGTTCTTCTTGTTGGTGAGTTCTTCTTGAATGTCACATCTCACTGGAAACTGTAGAACCTAAAACAAGTTTCTATGCTCAAGTCTTTAATTTCACATCTCATTAGAAACATCCTGCATGAACTTAACCTTTCTTCTTCTTGCTGGTGATGGAACCACAACAGTAGTTCTTCTTGCTGGTGAGTTCTTGAAGGAGGCAAAACCATTCATTGAAGATGGGGTCCACCCTCAAAATCTGATAAAGTGCTTCATACATAACTCATAACTCATAAGGTCTATTTCTTTTCACTTTTCTGGACCGAATAAACCGCTTGAATGAAAATAAATGACCATTTTACCCTTACATTCCATCACACAGTTTTAACAACAATATAATTAAGTTTCTTTCTTTTTGTATAGCATGACAAGGCACTTATTACTGGTTACTACATCTGTTGACAAAATGGTTCTCAAGAAAACAATTAGTGTTGATGGTATCTAAAAATGGGTGGTTCTGTTGTATGGGTTGGGCGATCTTCCATTGAAGTTCAACTTGGAGTCACTCAGCTATCAATTGGTATAATAATGTGATTGATATCTTTAAAATAGTGTTTAATTTCAATAGTTTTTGATTTTTTTAACTGAAAAGTGAAAACTATATATTGGTTTTGTAGATAGCACTGTAATTACAGAAATAGTAGCTTTATTTTGTAACATTTTCCATTGTATTGTTTGTATCTTGATTCTACTTTTCATGTTTTTAGAACAAAATGCCTACCCGAAGCTTTAACAAGAAGTTACATTAATTTAACATGCCAGATGAATTGAAGTGGCCTAGTATGGAGAGAAACCAACGACTCCCAAGGGGTGCACCCATGAAACACCACCTGTCTCCGAGCAACCTCAGTTCATGAAGCACAGCAACAACTCTACATCCACTGAGGTTGATATTAAGTCTAAACCAGCCAAAATAAAGGAGCCTAATCTGGCTGGTAACCATGGATCCAAGGGTTCCTCTTCTAAGGTCCCTTCAGAAGGTGAAAACTCGGTTTCTAAGGACAAGATGAGTGAGGATCTAGAAAATGAGAAACCAAAATTATTGATCAGGCTTACCAGAGAAGAGATTGAAGAAGATTATCTTGCAATGACTGGAAAAAAGCTTCCAAGAAACAAGATGAGGAGGGACTATCTAGTGGTCTTAGCAGGTGCATTTTAATAAGATTTGGTGCATAAAGTTAGTTATTTAACCGCAAAACGAAAGCAGACTGACTAAGTTTTGGACTTTTGGTATGATAAGCATCAACAACAATTTTTTAATCCTTTTAAACGGCAAAAAGAAAACAGATTGATTCCTTTTTATATAAATTTTTAATACTAATAAGAGTTTGTTATACCTGTTATTTTTCATACATTGAGCCATAGGATTGGTTGTAAATAACTAGATCCCAGGAGACTTGAACTTGTGATCATTTTTATAAAAAAGTTGGTATTGTGATGATATAAAGTTAAAAATTTGTATTGATTAATGAAATAGGTTGGAGTTTGCTGTTCTTGACTTAGCTGCAAATGATAGTGGTGGATTACAAAAGCAAAAATCCTCGTTTAATTCATTGGGATAAGGTTTGACTTTTTTTTTATTTATTTTTAATTATGTATATATATTTATTATTCCACTTTTTTACTTATATTTAATTTATTTATATATATGATGACAATGGAGTAAAAAGTATGTCAAGTTGAACAACGGTGACTGTGTGTCAGCTGATGGGAAAAAAGGAAGGCGAATAAAACAGGAATATATAAAAGATGGAAAGAAAAGTCACATAGTAAGATATCATATATGCATACAAAGTCTCAAAGGTATATCATATATGCATGCAGTTGAAAATCATGTTAGAATGTTAGAATGAAATAGTTTTGGTCTAAATAAAATGATGTCAATGTTTTCTAGTTATTTATTTTGAAAATATGAATTACAGGGGAAATTTGGTAAAGTCACTCATTTTCAACCAAAAAACAATTATTTACAAGGGAAGTTAGGTCATAAAATGTTAAAGTCACTAATGCTTAACCAACAAAGATAAAAATAAACATTTTACACCATTTTAGCTTGTTTTTTTAGATAAATCATGATTCATTATGTGTTCTGTTTATGGTTAATTGATTATCAATTATTCAATCTCAACGTAACGTTTATCTACAGCTTGGAGTTAGAATATCACTACCTAGTTTAATTACTGGAAAATAAAGTGCATATGTCATTCTTACTGGTGACTCAAACAAGCTAGAGGCATAAACAAGGCTTGTATAACGTATATTACTTGTAATCAATATGAATTTGTTTCTTACAAGTTTATAATAATCAATTTTCAGGTTTTGAACCACATGAGAAGAGTATGTGAGCTTAATAATGTCTAGTGATGATAGTGATTCTGCCACCACTCAGAGTAGGTTGTTATTTGAGTACATAGAACAGAATCAGCCTTGGGGCAGAGAACCTTTAACTGATAAGGTTAGCTTTCCTCCTGCTTGAACTGGCATAACAGGAAGAGCTCCAAATTGCAAATGGCCAATGTGTATAAAAAATAATAATAATAATAATAAAATAACACACAATCTTAAACTTATTACCTGACCAGCTGCGAACGGGAACATATTTTGGAACATTCTAGGAATTATGGGGGTGGCCCCAGGTATCTGATCTATTAAATCCAACAAAATCAAAGCTCTATAAAAAGTTGACAACTTTAAAAACTTCTCTATCGCCATCATAAAGATAATAAACAACATTCACCACTCAACTAGATCAAAAAAAATCGGATAGTTTTAAGTCTTGCATTCACCAAGAAATGGAAAAGATTTTATTTTTATGCAGAATTTTTATTAAAACTACCAAAACAAGGAATTCCCAATTGAAGATGAACAAAACCCATCATACCATTTTGCACTGATTTTTCCTTATATGTCACCATGTTTCTTTATACAGGTATGGGTCGTATTGAATTGCTGCAATGACAATTGGCAAAAGGTATTTTACTATGTCACTCTTTCATATTAACTTTTGTAATCAACTTGTGTATTAAATTTTAATATTTTATACAGTTATGGGTTGTATTCAACCCTGGATTATTGTAAAATGGTATTTTACTATATTTGTATTAAATTTTAATATTTTATAACATAGATTGATGATGCTTGAAGGCATTCTAAATACTAATGTGTTATGATGAAAACAGATATCATGTTGACAAAAAAGCATAACAATAAGTAGAAACAAGAAGGTGTTCCTTAACAACAATGTAGTATTAGGTTATATAGTTAGGGAAAACCTCTTAATAACAATTTACAATCGGATCCCCTTAATACCAATGTATTACAATTTTTTTGACATGATGAAATGGATTCTATTTTTTGTATATGATATTTTATTTTCTATTATAAAACATTATATACAAATTTAATTTGAAAATAAGTAAATCTATAAATAATATTTTTTTAAACATTTAAAATTATGATACGCAAAAATTTGTGTCATCTTCATTTATGACATGGCCTTTCTTGATAGGGGCTTTCTTGATACGCATTGCGTGTCATTAACACGCGTGTCGTAAGATTACGACATGCGAATGCTTGTCGTCTTCCTTTATGACAAGGCCTTCCTTGATACGCATTGCATGTTGTGAACGTGCGTCGTAATTGCGCGTCGTAAATGATCGTTGTAAATGCGCGTCGTCTATAGACGACGTGCAAAAGCGCGTCATATCTCTTTATGACATGGCCTTCCTTGACGCGAATTTGCGCGTCGTCTGAGCCTTTTATGACGCGCAATGAGCGTCGTAAAAGGCTATTTTTCTAGTAGTGTCACAGATTAACGACCTCTTTGAATAGTTGCAAGGTGCATCTTGGTTCTCCAAGATCGATCTGTGGTTGGGGTATTATCATGTGAGGGTTAGAGATGAGGATGTAGAGAATATTGTGTTTCAGAATCACTATGGTCATTACAAGTTCAAGGTGATGCCCTTTGGGCTCACCAATGCGCATTCGGTGTTTATGAAATTTATGAATCAGGTATGCAGGCTGATGCTCGATCAATTCATTATTGTTTTTATTAATGATATCTTGGTGTATTCCAAGACTAGAGAGCATCACGAGGATCATCTTTGAATGATTTGGGAGTAGTGAGGCGGGAACGACTTTATGCCAAGGTCTCGATGTACCACTCTAAAGTTATAACAAAAATTTTCATTTTTAAAACACATAAAACTCAATGTCACTTTTCTCAAAAACCAAAAATGTATCAAATGTCAACACACAAATCAACAAAATAACTGATAGTATCCTAGATTTCTTAAACATAGTCTCGAACAGGTGTGTACAATCAAGCTGACACCTTCCCGCGATCCTGAGGAGTACCTGAAACACATATCACACAACATAGTAAGCACGAAGCTTAGTGAGTTCCACAAAAATACCACATACACAAATAATAAGCCTCTCATGGCTATAGCTCGACATGGACCCTCTGGTCATGCGTCTCGGTGAGGACCCTTCGGTCTCATGGCTCGGTATAGACCCTCCGGTCATGTGTATCAGTGAAGACCCTCCGGACTCACAGCTCGGGTCGGACCCCCTAGTCCTGTATCTCAGTGAAGACCCTCCAATCTCACAACTCGGTTTGGACCCTCTGGTCCAAACTCAATGAAGCACAGAATAATATAGCACATATCACAAAGATAAGATTCTTAATATCACTAAAAATCAATATAAGCACATAGGACCCTCCGAATCGATAACTCAAATAAGACCCTTTAGTCACATAGTATTACCGTTCAGGTAAGTATAATGAGAAGACTCACCATGTAAGTAAGCAAGTAGATCTAGCACCCCAAGAATAGTCTAGACTCCACCGACATAATGCAATTATCTCTAATAAGTACTTTGTAATAACCACTCTGAGATGTTAAACTAAATCCTCCACTAACTCTTAAAATGGTGAAAAGAAAATTTTACCCCTCCATGATCTCCAAGGTCCACAGTTGGCCAAACCCTAAAAGTGAATGAAAGTCAACGCTCATGTCAACAATCCATGTTGACTAAACTCGTCGAGTGCATCTATGCGACTCACCGATTTCCTTCTTTTTCTCTAAAGTATCGGGAAAATCAAACTCAACTCGTCGAGTTGTAACACGTCCAATTTATCGGGGAAAACCCAACTGACTTGTCGAGTTGGCACGTGCACTCGTCGAGTCCTTATAGCCAAATTCTCATCCAAACGATTCTATGCAGAAATAAGGTCCCAAACTCTAGATCTAGCCTCCCAAGGCTGAAATACCATGTAAAGCTACAAGCTTTACGTCCATGCATGGCATTTAGGGCTTGTAATGCCAAAAAAA